TTAAGGCTTGCTGAGTCTATACTTAATCTAAGTCTCCTACAAGCAAGCCACACGGTCTTCTTATGCCCCTTTCAGTACCCAAGACTCCTTGCACACACCTCTCCATAGATTTTATAGTGGACCTTCACCCCTCTGAAGGCCATACAGTCATTTTAATGGTGACTGACAGATTCTCCAGAATCTCACTTCATTCTGCTGAAGAAGCTCCCTTCTGCAGTGCAACTGGCAGTGGTCTTTGCAAAGGAAGTGTTCAGGCTACATGGTATACCAGTAGACATAATCTCTGACAGAGGTCCCGAATTCATACCAAGGTTTTGGAGGGGATTCTGTGCAGAAATGGGTATATCTTTGTCCTTTTCCTTGTCCTACCACCCACAGTCAAACGGTGCTGCTGAAAGGGCGAGCCAGTCTCTGGAACTCTACCTGCACTGCTTTGTTAACGAGCACCAGGACAATTGGTCCCGCCTTCTCCCATGGGCTGAGTTTTGCCAGGAACACGCCTCACGCCTCTATTTGCTTAAGTCCTTTCCAGGTGGTTTTCTCCGACAAGGGAATACCCACTTTGGACGACCACCTTGCTGCTCTGTGGGAAATGTGGGATCAAGTCCATGTAGCTCTCTCTTGTGCAGCCGAGTTCCAGAAGAGGTTCACTGAGCCATAGGGCTGTGGCCAGTGGCGTCACTAGGGGGGGGGCCAGAGGGGGCCATGGCCCCCCTACATCATGCTGGGCCCCCCCAAATGCCAGCAACTTGCTAGCCATGTTCTTAAATTATATTCCCTCGAGCTGTAACAGTCTGTGACAGCCCGAGGGAATGCAGGACAGAGGGGCTGGAGAGATGCTGGGGCCGGAGGGAGCACTGACAGGCTCCTTGACAAGGCCCCGCCCCCCAACAAAGCCCCGCCTCCCGCACATAAGCCCTGCCCCCGCCAGACCATGCTGCTGCAGAAAATGGCTGTCTGACCTCCAGTGACAGGTAGGCTTGGTGTGTGTGTGGACATAGCAATCTGTGTGTGTATGGACTCAGCAGAGTCTGTGTGTGTGTGTGTGTGTGTGTGTGCATGGACTCAGCAGAGTCTGTGTGTGTGTGTATGGACTCAGCAGAGTCTGTGTGTGTGCATGGACTCAGCAGAGTCTGTGTGTGTGCATGGACTCAGCAGAGTCTGTGTGTGTGCATGGACTCAGCAGAGTCTGTGTGTGTGCATGGACTCAGCAGAGTGTGTGTGTGTGTGTGTGTGTATGGACTCAGCAGAGCGTCTGTGTGTGTGTGTGTGTGTGTGTATGGAGCAGACTCAGCAGAGTCTGTGTGTGCATGGACTCAGCAGATTCTGTGTGTGTGTGTGTGCATGGACCTGCAGAGTCTGTGTGTGTGTGTATGTGTATGTATGGACTCAGCAGAGTCTGTGTGTGTGTGTGTATTGACTCAGCAGAGTCTGTGGGAGTGTGTGTGTGTGTGGACTCAGCAGTCTGTATGGACTCAGCAGTCTGTGAGTGTGTATGGACTCAGCAGTCTGTGTGTGTGTGAATGGACTCAGCAGTCTATGTGTGTGTATGGATCAGCAGTCTGTGAGTGTGTATGGACTCAGCAGTCTGTGTGTGTATGGACTCAGCAGTGTGTGTGTGTATGGAATCAGCAGTGTGTGTGTGCGTATGGACTCAGCAGTGTGTGTGTGTATGGACTCAGCAGTGTGTGTGTGTATGGACTCAGCAGTCTGTGTGTGTGTGTGTGTATGGACTCAGCAGTCTGTGTGTGTGTGTATGGACTCGGCAGTCTGTGTGTGTGTGTGTGTGTGCATGGACTTGGCAGTCTGTGTGTGTGTGTGTGTGTGTGTGTATGGACATAGCAGTCTGTGTGTGTATGGACTCAGCAGTCTGTGTGTGTGTGCATAGACTCAGCAGTCTGTCTGTGTGTGTGTGTGCATGGACATAGCAGTCTGTGTGTGTATGGACATAGCAGTCTGTGTGTGTACGGACTCAGCAGAGTCTGTGTGTGTGTCTGTATGTATGGACTCAGCAGTCTGTGTGTGTGTATTTACTCAGCAGTCTGTGAGTGTGTATGGACTCAGCAGTCTGTGTGTGTGTATGGACTCAGCAGTGTGTCTGTGTATGGACTTAGCAGTCTGTGTGTGTATGGACTCAGCAGTCTGTGAGTGTGTGTGGACTCAGGAGTCTGTGTGTGTGTGTGTGTGTATATGGACACAGCAGTCTGTGTGTGTGTGTGTATATATGTATGGACTCAGCAGTCTGTGTATGTGTGTGTGTATGGACTAAGCAGTCTGTGTATGTATGGACTCAGCAGTGTGTGTGTGTGCATGGACCCAGCATTCTGTGTGCATGGACCCAGCATTCTGTGTGTATGTGTGTGTATGGACATAGCAGTCTGTGTTTGTGTATGTGTGTGTGTATGGACTCAGCAGTCTGTGTGTGTGTGTGTGCATGGACTCAGCAGTAAGTGTGTGTGTATTTACTCAGCAGTCTGTGTGTGTGTGAGTGTGTATTTACTCAGCAGTCTGTGAGTGTGTATGGACTCGGCAGTCTGTGTGTGTATGGACTCAGCAGTCTGTGTGTGTGTGTGTATGGACTCAGCAGTCTGTGTGTGTATGGACTCAGCAGTCTGTGTGTGTGTGTGTGTGCGCTGGACCAGTCCTGGGAAAATGCATCCGTAGCCAATGCCGCTGGATCCGGTGTAAAATCTTGTTGGAATAATCGTCACTGTTAAATCTTCTAAATTTCTTCTTGTCTTCAGTTGATTGATATATATATACGTCTTTTGTATATATAGTCTTGGGCCAAATGCTCGCCACAATAATATATGTCTATATTATTGAAAAGTACTAATGCGCAATCTGACTTACGGTTTCTTCAGGTTTATTCTTAGTTACGGATACATAATAAAACATAATAAAGGATGTTACAGGATAGTGGACATTCAACAGCAGATGGTAATTGCTGGACTTCTTTAAATCCTTACATCTTTACATCGAGAGAGAGCCAGAGCCAAGACAGAGCGAGATTGTGCCCCTCTGTTACTATATAGATGTGCTCATACTAACGTCAGCGTTTAACTCTAGCCATATAAGGACAAGACCCCCAAATCCACATTCCAGAGCTCTCGGACAAAGAAAGCCTTGTGACTTATACCATCTGTTACTTATGTCAATCCACACATCCATATATATAATCAATAGAAACATAGAATATGCAATATTCTACATCAGGCCTCCAACTGAAAAAGTTTGGAAGCTGTGTATTCAAGCGAGACGCGAACAAGTCTACATCCCAAGGACCCCAAAGATCCCAAATGCACTGAAAGATTTGAAGATGAAGGTGCCAGTCGCTGGAATCTCGAAGATGGCGGGAATACCAGTCCGCTGTAATGTTGGATTGACCTGGGATGTATTCCGCCCTGACTGCAATAATGTGTTGAAGACATAATTGCCAGAAATATCAGGCCAAATTCACCAGGACTTTGGATTTTGTGCCTCTGAGATGATTGATATAACAGACAGCTGAGATGTTATCCGTCTTCAGTAGGATAGAACACTGGGATAGAGTCAGAGACAGACTGTGGGTTGCAAAGGATCCTGCTAGGAGTTCGAGGCAATTTATATGTAACATTGATTTCAGTTCCGACCATCTTCCGCCTGTGGAGATATCTCTGCAGCGCGCACCCCAGCCGTACAAACTAGTGTTGGATTCTATAACCACGTCTGGATTTGAGCCAAAAATGACCCTGCCATTCCACGCCTCCATGTGAAGGAGCCACCAGTGGAGTTCCTCCTTCGCCTCCGCATCCAATGTCATGATATCCTTGTATGAGGCGCAGCCTCTGAGGTAGGATGCTTATAGACATTATAGGGCTCTGTAGTGAGGGGGCCCCGGGAATATGGCTTGTATGGATGGAGCTAGGAGCCCGATCATGCAAGCCAGATGTTTGAGAGAAAATTGGGGAGTGGCAAGAATATGTCGAATTTCCTTTTTGATGTCCTTCAGTTTTGACATAGGTAGGTGTAGAGTCTGCAGAGAGGAGTCTACAAGAAGACACAGAAACTCTATCTGTTGAGTGGGACTGAGTATGGACTTTTCCCAATTTCTAATGAAGCCCAGGTTTTGCAGCAAGGTTGTGGTCCAACCGAGATGAGTATGAAGTAAGGGGACCGACTGGGATAGCAGAAGGATATTGTCTAGATAAATGATGAGACGGATCCTATGACTGCAGAGGAGAGCAATAACCGGCTTCATGAGCTTGGTGAAGCACCAAGTAGTGGAAGATAGCCTGAAGGGAAGGCAGCGGAACCACCATTTCCTTCCCTGCAACGTGAATTGCAGGAAATCTTGATGAATGTCTGCGATGGGTACCGTGAGGTATGCATCTCGTAGGTCTAACTTGACCATCCAATCTGATGGTTGGAGTAAATCTCTGAGGCAATGAATGTCTTCCATCTTGAAATGATGGTACGTCACATTGTCGTTTAGCTGTTTCAAATTGAACACGGGGCAGACCCCACCTCCTTCCTTGGGGACTAGAAACAAATTGCTCACGAAACCCGGGTTCTGCATTGGGACTTCGTGGATGGCACCTTTGCGTGCCAATTCTCATATCTCTATGGAAATAAGGGTCATATCGAGTGGGTAAAAAACAATCTTCCTTGGGGGGACAACGTTGGGTAGGGAGGGACACAAATTTTTTTTAGATAACCATTGACAGCCCTGAGTACCCAAGCATCTGAAGTAATAAGAGCCCAAACATGGGAAAATGGTGAGTGTGCCCCCCACTACCAATAGGGAAGAAAGGTGATTGTAGTAGCTTACTGTAAGGACGTCCTCCTGAATGAGCGCCTCGTGTGCCTCTGGACATCCAGGGTATGCCTCGTTGAGGGAAAAAGGTCGGTGTTGACCTCTGTTCTCGAAAGGGGGTTATTGCCGCGCATGCGCATTAGGTCTCCCCCACTGGTTGATGTCAGTGGGGGAGGAGCATGGGCGGAGCCTGACCCAGCGCAGAGGAACATCGTCGCTGGATTCAGGTAAGTCACTGAAGGGGTTTTAACCCCTTCAGCAACATGGGCAGGGTCAGCACGTCCATACGGCTGCACAGGCGGCCGCCTTAGTGCGCAAGAGCAGGGGGGCAAAAATCCGAATCCCCTGCCTCTGGCTCTGTCTCTGGCTGGGGACTCGGATTTCTCAACTCACCTCGCTCTCCCAGCAGCCAACACGGAGCAGGAAACTGGCAGTGAAGTTAGTCGGCCTCCTCTGATGATGTCAGAGGAGGGGGCATGACTTCAACTGCTCCCAGATTCCCCAGCGGGTCTTCAGTGGATCCCCTGCCTCCAGCTCTTGTCTGGCCCACCTAACCACGAGGGGTAAGATCCCCACCCCCCCTCTCTGGCCCAAGGTAAGTCTCAGCCCAAGGTAAGATTGTTTTTTTTTATAATCAAAACCTTGTTTTTTTAAGCAGCCCCTGCCTCCATTATACTGCCCCTGTCCCCACCATGCTGCCCATGTCCCCCCTCTACATCCTCTGCCTCCATAATACTGCCCCTGTCCCCCTCTACTGCTCCTGTCCCCCCTCTACAGCTGATCCCCCCTCTACAGCCCCTGCCTCCATAATACTGCCACCCCTCCATAGCTCCTGCCCCCTCTACAGCCTCTGCCTCCAAAATACTGCCTCTGACCCCCCTCTACAGCCCCTGCCCAATAATACTGCCCCTGTTCCCCCTCTAGAGTCTCTGTCTCCCTCTCTACAGCCCCTTCCTCCATATCACTGCCCCTGTCCTCCTTCTCTACAGCCCCTGTCCCCTCGATGCTGCCCCTGCCCCCCGTGCTGCCCATGTCTTCCCTCAACAGCCCCTGCCCCCCCCTCAAACCCTCAGGAGTGGAAAGGAGAGAAACAGTTTTTACTCACAAATGCACTAAATAATACAGAGTGGCTGCTGGAGCAAAACAGAAAACCGTCCGACCACTAACTAAGACTGGACACGCACTCTGTTATTGGAGCGAAGTGGGTGATCCAAAGACAAAAAGAGCGGGAAAAAATGGTCGTTGTGTGAGGTATTAGACTCCAAAAAGATGGCTGCCGCGGATGGGTTATCAGCTGTTGAAGCGTGCGTTCGGGAGTTGAACGCGCGCGAACATGTAATAAGGAGAATTACCGACCACTGGAGCAAGCACTCTGGGGTCGTGGATTTACACAAACAAAGTTAAGAGTGTTCACATTCGTATGAATGCGAAAGCGGCAAAACTGCCGAAACACAATATGGCTGCGAGACGTGTTCCTGACGGAACGCACATGCGCGGCCGAACAGACGTCTCTGAGAAACAGAGCTGAAAGCAGGCAGCGTTAGCAAGGGGCAAACAACTTAGCATTAGCGCGGGAGTGCAATGGGGACATGGGGTAACCTCCAGAGGGTCTGCCTAATAACATTAGGTGTAAAAAAAACAAATATCAACAAAAAGACAAATAAATTTAATAAACAAATTATAATACATAAAACTAACAGTAATAAAAGGATTAGTACTAAAGACACCAATCACAATTATTAATATGGCAAATCACAATAATCACAATGAAATAAAGATCCCACAGTTAGTAAAACTGTGAGATAGATTGTACTTAACTGAGGGAGCAGCAAAGAAAGAGGAAGTGGTCACCTATGTTCCGCCCACTATAGGATAAGGATGTCTCTGATTGGATGTTTATGTTACTAGGCGGATGTTGTCATTGTGATGTTTATACCTGTTCTTTCTATTGATTTGCATTTGTTATTTCTTTGCTGCCGCAGGAATTAAAGAAAGCGTGCAGCATAATACTCGCCTCTGTGTCTTTAATAAAATTGGAGATTAGTCAATCAGACACAACCTGTGTCTATATAAGCTAACCTCCCCGTTGCCTCAGTGCCCTGTTGAAGTCTTTGTTTAGCCCAATAGTGCGTTATACTCTGTCTGATTAATTGGTTACCGAACTTTGGCTTGTCTTACGTTTACTTTGTTTTCTCTGCTCCCTGACCTTGGCTTGTCTCTTCGTATTCTGTCTCTCTATTTCACTTTGACCTCGGCTTGTCTCTTCGTATTCCGTCTCTCTATTTCCCTTTGACCTTGGCTAGTCTCTTCGTATTCTGTCTCTCTATTTCCCTTTGACCTTGGCTAGTCTCTTCATCTCTCTATTTTCTTTTGACCTTGGCTAGTCTCTTCATATTCCGTCTCTTTATTTCCCTTTGACCTTGGCTAGTCTCTTCGTATTCCGTCTCTCTATTTCCCTTTGACCTTGGCTTGTCTCTTCGTATTCCATCTCTCTATTTCCCTTTGACCTTGGCTGGTCTCTTCGTATTCCATCTCTCTATTTCCCTTTGACCTTGGCTTGCTTTGACTATTCTTTTGCATAACGCGGCCATTCTAAGGACCGGTATTGCATTTATGTGTCAGTGTGTATCTATGTGTGTGTCTATGTGTCAGTGTCTTTATGAATTTGTGTGTATGTGTCGGTGAATGTATATGTATCTGTGTGTTAATGTACATGTATATCTGTGTAAGTATGTATGTATGTGGTAGTATATGTGCATAAATCCGAGCAGTCAAACACCAGCACAACATACAAACTAGGCATGTGTATGGGCAAAATTTTCGGTTCGGTTCAGCATTCCGAAATTCGGGACTTCGGCAATTCGTCACTTCGGCAATTTGGCACTTCGACACTTCAGAAATTAGGTAATTTTGGAACTTCGGGACTTCGGCAATTCGACACTTCAGAACTTCGGCAACTTCGACACTTTGGGACTTCGGAATTTCTGAACTTCTCTTGCAGCCGCTTGGTAGATAACTCCCTGATTCCCACGGTATTAGGGAGTTATCTACCAAAAGGTTGAAAGACCTAAATTGGTCTTTCAGACAAATTTACTAATACTAAGTAAAGATTAGTTAGTATTAGTAAATTATGCCCATACTCGCTATATGCGAGTAGGGGCATCTCTAGTAAACAGTGAGCAGCCACTGGCTTTTTTTTTTAAAAAGGGTCCCCCCTCCCGGCTTTTAAACTAAAGGGGGGGCCTATTGCGGTGGGTGGGGGCCCTACATTAGAATGAGGGGGGGACCTAGTGTCCTCCCCCTGGCCCCCACGCCTGAGCGGTGGGTGGGGGTCCTACATTAGAATGAGGGGGGACCTAGTGTCCTCCCCCCTGGCCCCCACCACTGAGCGGTGGGTGGGGGCCCTACATTAGAATGAGAGGGGGGGACCTAGTGTCCTCTCCCCTGGCCCCCACCCCTGAGCGGTGGGTGGGGGCCCTACTAATTAGGGGGGGACCTAATGTCCTCCCCCTTGAGCGGTGGTTGGGGGCCCTACATTAGAATGAGGGGGGGACCTAGTGTCCTCCCCCCTGGCCCCCACCACTGAGCGGTGGGTGGGGGTCCTACATTAGAATGAGGAGGGGGGACCTAGTGTCCTCCCCCTGGCCCCCACCCCTGAGCGGATGGGGGCCCTAAATACTAATTAGGGGGGGAACCTAATGTCCTCCCCCCTGGCCCCTACCCCTGAGCGGCAGGTGGGGGCCCTAAATACCACTAGGGGGGACCTAGTATCCTCACCCCCCGCCCCCACCCCTGAGCGGCAGGTGGGGGCCCTAAATAAAAAATTAACCCCCTCTTCCCAGGTGACTAGGGGTCCCCAAACCCTAGTCACCCCCCTCCCTAAAAAAATTAACCCCTACCACCCCCCTCACCCTAAAAATAGTGAGGGGGGCCATTAGCTAAACCTGTTAAAAAATAAAATAAAACTTACCATTTGATGTTTTCTTTCTTCTAAAATCTTCTTTTTTCAGACCCCAAAAAGGCCAAATAAAAAGCCATAATAACCGATGCACTGTAAGCAGTCAAACACCAGCACAACATACAAACTAGGCATGTGCATGGGCAAAATTTTCGGTTCGGTTCAGCATTCCGAAATTTGGGACTTCGGCAATTCGGCACTTCGGCAATTTGGCACTTCGGCACTTCAGCACTTCGACACTTCAGAAATTAGGTAATTTCGGAACTTCAGGACTTCGTCAATTCGACACTTCAGAACTTCGGCAACTTCGACACTTTGGGACTTCGGAATTTCTGAACTTCTCTTGCAGCCACTTGGTAGATAACTCCCTAATTCCCACGGTATTAGGGAGTTATCTACCAAAAGGTTGAAAGACCTAAATTGGTCTTTCAGACAAATTTACTAATACTAAGTAAAGATTACTTAGTATTAGTAAATTATGCCCATACTCGCTATATGCGAGTAGGGGCATCTCTAGTAAACAGTGAGCAGCCACTGGCTTTTTTTTTTTAAAAAGGGTCCCCCCTCCCGGCTTTTAAACTAAAGGGGGGGCCTATTGCGGTGGGTGGGGGCCCTACATTAGAATGATGGGGGGACCTAGTGTCCTCCCCCTGGCCCCCACCCCTGAGCGGTGGGTGGGGGTCCTACATTAGAATGAGGGGGGACCTAGTGTCCTCCCCCCTGGCCCCCACCACTGAGCGGTGGGTGGGGGCCCTACATTAGAATGAGAGGGGGGGACCTAGTGTCCTCTCCCCTGGCCCCCACCCCTGAGCGGTGGGTGGGGGCCCTAAATACTAATTAGGGGGGGACCTAATGTCCTCCCCTCTGAGCGGTGGTTGGGGGCCCTACATTAGAATGAGGGGGGGGACCTAGTGTCCTCCCTCTTGGCCCCCACCACTGAGCGGTGGGTGGGGGCCCTACATTAGAATGAGGGGGGGGACCTAGTGTCCTTTCCCCTGGCCCCCACCCCTGAGCGGTGGGTGGGGGCCCTAAATACTAATTAGGGGGGGGACCTAATGTCCTCCCCCCTGGACCATACCCCTGAGCAGCAGGTGGGGGCCCTAAATACCACTACAGGGACCTAGTATCCTCCCCCCTCCCGCCCCCACCCCTGAGCGGCAGGTGGGGGCCCTAAATAAAAAATTAACCCCCTCTTCCTAGGTGACTAGGGGTCCCCAAACCCTAGTCACCCCCCTCCCTAAAAAAATTAACCCCTACCCCCCCCCCTTCACCCTAAAAATAGTGAGGGGGGGCATTAGCTAAACCTGTTAAAAAAAATAAAATAAAACTTACCATTTGATGTTTTCTTTTTTCTAAAATCTTCTTTTTTCAGACCCCAAAAAGGCCAAATAAAAAGCCATAATAACCGATGCACTGTAAGCAGTCAAACACCAGCACAACATACAAACTAGGCATGTGCATGGGCAAAATTTTATGCGAGTAGGGGCATCTCTAGTAAACAGTGAGCAGCCACTGGCTTTTTTTTTTAAAAAGGGTCCCCCCTCCCGGCTTTTAAACTAAAGGGGGGGCCTATTGCGGTGGGTGGGGGTAATAACCGACGCACTGTAACCCCTTCAGGACGGAGTCAATACTGCACGTTCTGATCAAAACAAAACGTAAACAAAAACTGGAATTTGCGCTATATGTCTATTCAACCGTAATTCACCGCTGTCACATTAAGTGCACCCACACTTATTATATATCATTTTGTTCAGGAGAAACAGGGCTTTAATTTATCATTAACTATTCATATATGGAACATAATTTATTATGAATAAAATTTAATTTGTATTTCCGTCTGACATTTTAGCTGTGAATGTTTTACTGTTAGGTTTTACTGCAAAAAAATGCACATATTTGTAATCAACGATGTCTCACGAGTACCACACCCCCCCCATTAACAGGTTTTATGGTGTTTTGGAAAGTTACAAGGGTCAAATATAGAACGTTCGATTTTCACAGTGAAATTTGCCAGATGTTACTTTTGAGATGGTGTGAGGAATGAGAATTACCCCCATAATGGCATACCATTTGAAAAAGTAGACATTTGTAAAAAAAACTTTAAAAAAAACGAGCGCAAAAAAGCCATCCAATCAGAGTGCTCTGACAGGTAAATGAAGAGACTGACAGGTGTTTGTGACTAAGTGGCTACTAAGAAAGACTTGACATACCCCACTTGCAATACCTTAGGTTGTCTACTTTTGCAAATGGTATGCCATCATGGGGGTAATTCTTATTCTTGGGCTACCATACGCTGTCAAATGCAACATAACCAATCTGGCAAATTTCAATGTCAAAAAAATGAAAATGCAAGCCTTATATGTGACTCTCTAACTTTCCAAAACACAATAAAACCTGTACATGGGGGTACTGTTATTCTCGGGAGACTTCACTAAAATCACAAATATTAGTGTTTTAAAACAGTGAAACATATTACAACAATAATATAGTCCATAAAAATGCTGTTCGTTTGTAAAAAATGCAAAAAACTTCACTTTTACTTAAAATATCATCGTTGTAATACAAAGATTACTTAAATATACACAAAGAATTTTAATGTGTATGCATTTATAGGTATTTAAATTCTATGTGTATACTAATGTAATCGTTTATGTAATTATATGTATTTATCTATATATATATATTTGCGGTTATTTGTATTTTATATATAGATAGGTATATATAGAATGTCATTCTAAGTGTATTTTGTTACCAATATATATATATTAATAACAAAATACTTATATTAATATTAAAATACACTTTGTATGACGTTACATAAATATAATATGTATATATATTATATATATAATAGATATACATATATTATATATATAAATAAATTTCTATGTTAATTTTACACGTTTAATTCTTTTTTTTTTACTTTCCCACCAGCAGGGTGACTGTCTGACATTTCAGACAGTCCCCCTGCTGGCAGATCCACAGCCAGCTATAGGGGGCCATGTGAGAGCGATTACATGTCCCCCGGGGGCCTCATTTGCCGGGGGTGGGCTGCCTGGGCTGTCAGGCAGCCCTCCAGAAGAGGATCGCGGCGGAGGTAAGTAAATTTCACCTTCAGGGATAGAAAGCCATTACGGCTTTCTGTGCCGCCGCAACGGCTTTAAAGCCCTTTTAATGCCGGACGTCATAGAACGCCGTAACGGTGTAAAGGGGTTAAAAAAAAACTAAAAAAAAACGAGCGCAAAAAAGCCATCCAATCAGAGTGCTCTGACAGGTAAATGAAGAGACTGACAGGTAAGTCTCTACATTTACCTGTCACAGCACTCTGATTGGTTGGTTTGAAATCCACCAATCAGAGTGCTCTGTGTAATTTTACACAGTGTGGGAAAGTTCTTTGGAATTTTCCCACGCTGTGTAATTTGACTCATAACACTCTGATTGGTGGATTAAGTAACCCTAGTCACCTGGGGAGGGGGGGTTAATTTTTTCAGGGGTGGGGGCCAGGGGGAGGACATTAGGTCCTCCTCCCTAATTAGTATTTAGGGCCCCCACCCCACCGCTCAGGGTTGGGGGCCAGGGGGAGGACATTAGGTCCCCCCCACTTAGTTTTTAGGGCCCCCACCCACAGCTCAGGGGTGGGGGCCTGGGAGGAGGACATTAGGTCCCCCCCCACTTAGTTTTTAGGGCACGCACACACCGCTCAGGTGTGGGGGCCAGGGGGGAGGACATTAGGTCCCCCCCCCATTCTAATTTAGGGCCACCGCCCAGCGGTGGGGGCGGGGGGAGGACAATAGGTCCCCCCCCTTATTCTAATTTAGGGCCCCCACCCACCTCTCAGGGGTGGGGGCCAAGGGAGAGGACATTAGGTCCCCCCCCCCATTATTTTACTGTAGGGCCCCCACCCGCTGTTAGAAGCCCCCACTCGCGCAGCACGGGTGGGGGCTCGGGAGGGGGTGGCTTTTTAATAGACATAGGCTGCTCACTGTTTAAAAGACATGCCCCTACTCACGGTATAGCGAGTAGGGACATAATTTACTAATACTAAGTAATCTTAGGATTTTTAGCTACATAGGCGAAGATTCAATTTGCCGCCCCCCACCCCTCCTTCAATAAAAAAAGCATTTTCACCTGTGTGTCTTGTTGTAACCCCCTCCTTTGCATTTCTTACTCCTTTTGTGCTCTAGTGTATTTTATTCTCCCTTTAGTGTGTCTATGTATTTTTTTTTCAATGTTAATTTTTTTTTTATTATTTTCATTTCTTA